AGATCTAAACAAGAGAAGGACTTATACAGGCAACATAGAAGACCTTTTAGAGGTGATTAGGCCTAATGCACTTTCCCCTGTTCATTCACAAGTCTACAGTAATTCATACTTTTTTCTTCACAGTATCTCCTGCTCCATCATTAGGAACATACACCTTCACCTTCACAGATATTATCAGTTCCCCTCTTCATCAAACACGCTTATTTCGCATACCTCCTTGCCCCAAAATTACTTCATTTCCTGTCACCTGTGGGTTTAAGCTAAACCTCTAATCTATTATGATTCACCTGCTGGGAATCAGGGTTGCATGGCGAGTCATTTGTAGGGTTCTGGGGATCTTTTCCCAACAAATATCAGAAAGTTGGAATTGTGCTAAAAAGTCAAGCTTATGATAGATATATCTATGTCATCTTATGGCATGCCTAAATCTCATCATCTGCATGTACACTGGGAGTAAGCTCAAGACATGCTCCCTGCAGGCAATGTTTGCTACTGTCACATGATGCACAGGTGATTCCCATATATATTTCCTTTATATTCAACAAGATCTCATCATAAACCAGGGGTTGGAAGTTGACCTCCTTCACTGGATATACGGTGCCTTGCTGCCTCTCAATGGTTGTGGATTGTCGCATTTTGTAAGCATAAGCATGTCTTTCAGCTGATATTCATGTGATCCATGAACACCTGACACAGTTCTTGAGCACCAGAACTTGATCTGAATTATCCCAGTCAAATGACAGCTAGTGCCTACTAGTAATAAAGTCTTGACTTAGAGGATAAATATTGACTTAGGCATAGAGCACTCTTTGAGACTCTAAGGGATGTTTTTAATGACTGCCCTCTGCTGACATAACACACACAGACTTGTTTAGTAGACCTGGGAATAATAATAATGTTTACAGTGGGCTGTAAATTTTGGGAATATAGAATTTTTTAAGTCAACATTTGCCTGTGTGGCTATTCAAAACATAACAAATCTATGGAGATTATCTGCTGTCCATTTGTAATCTTAGCACTTGTAATGAGAAGCAGGATGACCTGCTAAGCCAGTATGAGGACAGCTGGGCAGATACTGTGCCCTGTATCAACAAGCAAAACACACCTGGCAATCTTGTCTACTTCCAATATCCAGGAGGATAACTACATGATTTTCTTTGGGTTCACATTCTTATTTAGCTTCTCTAAGATCACGAATTGTAGGCTCAATGTCCTTTAATTATGACTAGAATCCACTTATGAGTGAGTACATACCATATTCCTCTTTTTGGGTCTGGGTTACCTCACTCAGTAAAGTGTTTTCTATTTCTATCCATTTGCATGCAAAATTCAAGATGTCATTGTATTTTACCGCTGAGTAAAACTCCAATGTGTATATATTCCACACCTTCTTTAACCATTCTTCTTTTTTTTGTATGCAAAAGATAAGAGCCTTCATTGCAAACTCGAGCTTGAATCCCCCATCTGTTCTGACTCAGTGGTTGCATCAGAAAGCCCTGAGCTCAGTTATGGAAAGGGTTTTTAAGGAATAAAGGATGGGGGAGGGGAATTCCAGATCCAGATGGGGGTTGCAGGAGTGAGCAACAGAAGTCCTGTCAGACAGGGATTGGTACTGGCGCTGCTGCACGGAAATTGGTAACCTATATACAAATTATGTAAGCTAGTCTCAATGTTCTGGAGCATGTAGTACTTGCTTGTCTCAATTCTAATGGTCCCCCACAGGGTACAGTTTGTGTTTTTTCCTGATTGTTGTAAGGATGGGGTCTAGTCTTTGGTATTGTTAGCCTACAGTCTATCATGGCTGCACTGATGTTAAGTTAGGCCTCCTTAAGTATTTACGCAAATTTTAACCATTCTTCTATTGAGGGGCACCTAGGTTGTTTCCAGGCTCTGCCTATTACAAATAGTGCTGCTATGAACATAGTTGAACAAATGCTTTTGAGATATTTCATTGTGTGGTCTGCTAAGCTAAACCAGCATATATGTTTTAAAGGTATCATGACTTCCAAATTTGGGTCTAAGGATATGATGCTTTGGAAAAGAGGTTCTTCTTTTGTTTTCACAAAGGATGAGACCCTGTGCATTGTTTCAAGACCAATATGGTATGGTAGACCACACCCTCCTGAAAGGTTGCTGTGAACACCCTCAAAAAATTACTTCACTCAACTGCCGACTGAGATGAACCTAGCAGACAGGTTACACCATAAAAGACCTGATTAACAGCGCCCCCATATAACACGAAGTAGTTTGGAGAGAAATAACTATGTCCATATTCCCAAATATTGTTTAGAACTGTTTGTTTACATTTAAAGGAGGATAGGATATAGATATGAATAATTTGCTTTGGTATACATCTTGGTTTTTTGATAGAAACTTAAAATCAATTTTGTTGTATTTATATGTATTTCTGATCTTGATTAAGGTATTGTGATTGTGAATTCATTTAAAAATGGAATGTATAATTAGGAAATATAGGTTGTTAACGGATAATCATCAATAATAGTCATGTTAGTAAGATTTTCTAGATATATATAGAGAGATTTCAGTTAGATAGACATTTTTCATATCTTTCAAAGACAACAGAATATGGCATTTAAAATGTTTTAATAACTTAGGGTTTTTCATGACAATGAGTCAAGTCTGCTCCTGGTAGCACCAAGCTACTTCCTGAGGAAGATGGGCATCAAAGAGGTTCCTTATGGGGTTTGCTAGCCATTTGAGCAAAAAACTGCTCTTGCCCGGACTGCTGCATAAACTGGACATAAAGAACCCACAGAGAGAGGACAGGTGACCTTGCCTAAAGGTGAGATAGTCCTTAGGGTTCCTGCTTCATGAAAGAGTCTGCAAGACATTCTGGAGGATACAAAAGAAAGTGACTTAACTGTCTTTGAAATTTCCTGCTTCATGGAAAAGTCTGCTGGATACTATGGGCCTGAAGACTGAAGATGCATGCCCCAATGGTACAGAAAAACTTTGGGTGACTGCCCAGGCAGCGAGATGTCTCTGTCATTTCTAGAGTTTTGGAAATTTCTTACTTCTTGTTTACTTAGTTAATATTATATCCTTCAGGAGTCGTTGATGGAGTTGGAGGATAGTTAAAGTTATTGTTTTCCTTCGTTATGATAAAAGATAAAATAGATCTAAATATTGTAGTTGTAATTCTTGCTTGAAAACTGTTCTGTTATATGTAATTTTACTATGTTAAAGTGAAAGCCTTTCTTTTTTGTTTAAATAGAAAATGAAGGAATGGTGTAGGAGGTTCTTCTGTCTATGTGTTGCTTTCACTGGTTGAATAAAGAAACTGTCTTGGTCTTTTCATAGAGCAGCACTTAGATAGGCAGGCAAGAGAACTGAATGCTGGGAGAAAGAAGGCAGGCAGGGAGAGCCGCCATGGAGCCTCCAGGTCAGACATCCTGAATCATTCCCAGTGAGCCACCTTGTGGTGAACATAGATTATTAGAAATGGGTTGAATCAAGATGTGAGAGACAGCCAATAAGAGGCTAGAACTAATGGGACAGGCAGTAACCCAATTAATACAATTTCAGTGTGGTTATTTCTGGGGTTAAGCTAGCCGGGTGGCAGGACGGAGCCAGATCCTCCTACAACAGAGTGGCTGCCCAAAGTGGGCAACTAATTACATGAGAGGTCTTTAAAGGAATTCTAGACACACGGAAAAAAAAACAGACTTTAATATAGCTTTTTGCTATTTGCTGGCGACATGCCAAAGAGAGATTTTCCTGACTCAGATTTAGAAAATAAAAAACTGTGCAGTTTTAAAATGCCAGCTTTATGGGCTATCTCCTAGTGCGTTATTTCGGGGGATCGGCTAGCCAGGCAGGGGACACTGCCTGCGTACCTATTACCACAGGAAATGAAACCAATTATAACACAGGTGAGGAGACAAGGCGTTTCAACTGTCTAGCTACCACCTTCCACCACCTTAAGGTGGCCTGGACAATCAACATTGATCTTTGGACTGATATAATTCTTTTTATTCTGAAAGGAAAAGGATCACATAGTAGCTAGGCCTAAAATTTTTGCAGTCCTAAACATGTCATATTTTAAACAGCACTGTATAATGGTCTTTCTACTTGAATGAATAGGACATTCTCCTACAATTCAGAAAAATCATTTTGTAAATAGCAACAGAATATTAATACCATGTCCAAGAGTATATGAGCAATACAATTGTTAATAACGATGAGTTACTGATCAACTACATCATTTTAATAATAGCCATAATAAAGCCTTGCCATCTAGGAAGCTTAACATGGTCATGAGAATAGCTGAGTTCTCATGTACAGGAAACGATTGAACATGAACACATGCAGGATAGAGCCTCTCATGCTAGAGCAGCATTTCCTGACGTGTGCCTGAGAACCCTGGCCCTGCCAGGGCTCTGGGACCAAGCAGAAACTTGTGATTTCCTTGGGACTAGAGCTGGGAACCTACATCCTGGCTCTCTTTGGGAATCTGTAACAGCATACTCTGAGAAGGTTATGATCTTACCTGCAACTGAGGCATCTGCCTGTGTGATCCTGGAAAGTTCTTAACCTATTCTATTTTGAGAACACTTTGCACAAGAAATGGGTAAATGTTGCAGAAAACAAAGTTCAAAGGTGGAATTCTCTTCTCCACAAGGGATGTTCCTAAATAAAAGTGTTGTTTCATCCAGGTGTGGTGGTACACACATTTAAATCCCATTACTTCAGAGCTGAAGCAGGCAGATCACTGCCAGTTCAAGAAACTCCTGCTTAGAACATAGAGAGTCCAGAAGGGGGAAGGGAGACTCAGCTCAGGGGACACACTGAGTGTCAAATGTATTGTTTTCTGGACACAATTTCTTGTTGACTGAACCAGCACAATTCTCTTAGGTATTTTTCCCTGGTTCTAGTTGGAAACCATACATGTGAGCAGAACACCACAAAAGACAGAGATCCCAGGTAAAAGGGACCCACTGGGCTCTACTTCCTCTCCAACCCTGGGTTCCTACCTCAGCTGGGAGACTTCAAAGTGATGCCGTAGCTTTTCTGCCAAGTCCTTTTCCTGCATGGGCATTTCCTTCTGCCTCCACAGGAACTGAAGACTTTCCTCCTATCTCTTGAGCTCCAGTTCATTAGAAGACTGTGTTGTTAGTGGAGGGTCACAGACTATCATACATCTCTAGGCGCATACAAAGGATCCAAATAGCTTGCTGGTCAGCTAGGTAGACAAAACAGTAAAAGCAACCAGGAGAATGAGAAACCCTGATTCAATTTAGAGACTGATCTGAAACACAGTAGTCTCCTTTAGCAAATTGCACACATGCATGACACATCAGATCGCCTAAATACTACAACTACTACTACTACAACTACTACTACTACTACAACTACTACTACTACTACTACTACAACAACAACTACTACTACAACTACTACTACTACTACAACTACTACTACTACTACAACTACTACTACTACTACAACTACTACTACAACTACTACTACTACAACTAC